AGGAGGAGGAGGAGGAGGAGGAGGAGGAGGAGGAGAGAACAATTATCTAATTAATATAAAGTTTTTCCTCTGCAGATTCTGAACCAAATACTCTCAACACCCCTTGGTCCAGACAAGCCCCAGGCTATTGAGGTCAGAGGTTTGGTAAATCTTTCTCCTTCTCTACTCTTTTGTACCGGGTGTGCAGTGTAAAAACTGGAACTCTTCACCTTCAAACCTTATATCCGAAGATTGAGAAGATAGATCTGTTATCAGTTTGCCTTTTAGTGGTTTCTGTTGGACTGTATTCGAAACTGCCCGAGTTTGCAAGGTCGAAGCAGCCCGCTTTCTATTAATTGTTTAATGAAGGTGTTTTTAATGCCCTCATCAACGCAATAGATCATGCAGAATTTCGACCCTGCCTGTCAGGGCTAACCCGGGCTGAGAGTAAGACAGCAGAAAAAAGAACCCGAGATGCTCCATAAACATTTTGTCCCTACTCGGAAATAAAACTCGGGTCTATTGTGTGCTACAGAGAAGCGGTAACCACAACAGCACAGATGCCGATCTTGTTTCCTAGATTATTTAAATAATGAACATAGGGGCGTAGAACAACAGCCTGGCGCGCATATTGCGAAATCGCGAAACATTCATGCATTGTACACATTTTCTGGTCCTAATTAATTTTGTCGTTCACAAGATTTTTTTTTCTTTTTGTACTTAAATACGCACAGAGTGAAAATCGTACATTACAAACAGATTTCCCACCGATTTCGCTATGTGCGTGATAGACTGCATATCGGAGTTGGTGTCTTTTCCACCAGATCATGCTGCAGAACTACGAGAGACACTTCATCAGCGCCATCAGCAACGGCACTGTTATCGTCAATGGCCACAGTGAGCAAATGTGGACGTTCACAGGGTCGGTATACTTCTGTATTACGACCTTCACGCTTCTCGGTGAGTCATTCTTGGACGACCTCAAGCGTCTATGGGGTAGCGGTAGCGCTAGGAGAGGGGCTGGGATTTGGTTGGAAATGAGGGGGGGGGGGGGGGGGGTGGGCAGAAGGGTTTGAGGAGGAGTGCTGGAATCTCTATACCACAATGTTGAACACCGGTTTAGGATATCGGCTTCTTCAATACATTAGATATCTAGTATCTAGTATCTAATCCATTTGCAGAAGTTTTCCCCTCTTTTAGAAGTTCGTTTGCATTCATGTAAACTAGATATATTTTAAAAATATAACAAAACAACAACTACAATACCAACAACAACGGAACAAAACAAAACAAAACAAAAATCCTTTAAATTACACGAATTGTTGGCGGGTGCTCTGGTGCGGCTTGCTCCTTCTTTCCTTTCAAACATACATCGTCTTTATCTCTTATTCTCCTTATTTTTTGTGTATGTTACTCTCTGGTAATAACACCTTTAATCTTCGGCATTAATATTAATATGACCTATTTGTGTTGCAAGTGCCGTAAACCGCTTACTAAAATAATGAAACAAGTCGAACTACACCTCACATAAACGTGCTACACCCCAAACACCACATCCAACCCCTCTTCCCAAGGTTACGGCAACCTGGCACCCAAAACTAACTTGGGCCGCATTATCACGATCATCTATGCCGGGATCAGTGTCCCTCTGTCCTCCGTCGTCCTGGAAGAGCTGGGCGGCAAAGTCCTCTCCGTCTTGCTCTATATATGGAGAAGTTCCATACAGATCTGTCTCACGTGAGTTCCAGAGTCATGTGCATCCTTGAGTTATGTGAGATTTTGTACCTCGTTAGGGCATTGAGTCATGTGGTGCTCTCTAAAGAGTTAAAAGGGAGAATTAATGTGTATTAATGAATCATACAGATTTTAACAATTGCACTCTTATTGAACCTCGTGGGATGTTTAGTTTATAATAGCGTTCGCACCATGTTACATCGATTATAAGTATATGCCATGATGCTTCCATTTTTACTTAATCTACAATATCACACTAATTAAGACAGTTAACATACCATTGCTGGTCGCCATAGTCCAGCGCCCTGTGTTTAAACTAAGTTTCTTTGCCTTTCTCAAGGAATAACTCCAGTGATCACCAACTTAAACACCATATCAACGACAGACGCTTGCCATTGGTATCCACCTGAGCCCCATAACCACTAGGCCACGAATCCAAATGACTTTCCAGCAATACCACGAAAGCTGTCTTCAATTCCTTTAAGTATTACATTATTTTGAGTTTCTGAAATGTGTAAATCTTTTATTTCTGCTTCCCCTTGGAATGAGTGCAGATCGAAGAACATCATCAGAGGTAACAAGGGGAACAGCTCAAAGAACAACCCCAACAAACCAGCGCTCTTCTGTTTTCCCCGCACTCGCAGAGATCGTCTGTTTATTTGTGAGAGTAAGCAGCAAACGATGAAAACGTCCACAAATTTTCACCAGACCGGTGAAGGTGGATGTTCATTAGCAGACCACAACGATGCTGGTCGGTTTCTGGAACATTGTGGTGGGATTTCTCGACACACCACAGAGCAGGGTGGATGTGTCTCCGTTCTTCGTAACTCTTTTTCGTTTGACCGTGTCAAACAGGGTCAATGTGAGGTCATGTTTCAGTCTGCTGAGGCTACCAGACATCGCGGTTCTCCAATGTTGAAAGATGCGGTGCAGTTGAAGGAAGCAAGGGAGAAACGAGAGGGAAGAAACTGTGTCCCTGTCATCAACGGACATCACAATTCAGAGAGCTATGGTTGCGAATCAAGTGTTTGCTTACAGAGTTACACTGGGGCAGGACCTGAGTTCGCCATTCATAAGCACTTAACAACGAATTTCGAAAAGTACTTGGAAGCTTCCATAAAACCAGGCAGTCAAGAATATCAAAAAGAAATAAAAGATTGTACAAGTGATGATCTGTACCCAACCAGCAAATCAGCTTCCATCTCTCTCATCTCGAAATTCCGAGGTGACCCTAGAAGCGGATACCCTATTTACGAAACAAATACTAGCAACGTCAATAGAATGCGACTGAGAAAAACGGACTTTGGCGAAAAATGTATTAGGAATTTCAGAAAACAGACTAACATCACTGGAAGTCCCCATCGCAGTTGTAGAACGGGAATTTCCAATTTCGTCTTTGGTTGTTTCACGGCAAGTCCCCTGCGTTACTTCGTGATTGGGAATGCCCTTTGGAGAGGCCTGAGTAAAATAAACGGAAAGAAACAAAGGAGAAGACAGAAAAGAGAATCAACATTGTGAGTGAGCGTGTTTGGTGTGTTTGTACCATACCAGTTAATATGGCTGTAAGCGTTCTTTTTCGTGGCATACCATCATCATCATCATCATCATCATCATCATCATCATCATCATCATCATCATCATCATCATCATCATCATCGTCAACAACAACAACAACAACAACAACAACAACAACAACAACAACAACAACAACAACAACAACAACAACAACAGCAGCAGCAGCATCAGCAGCAGTAACAACAACAACAGCAGCAATAACAACAACAACAATAACAATAACAACAACAACAACAACAAAAGTATATAACACATATCCTACTACATTTGTGGTATACAAGCGATACACAAACAACATTGGGAGTTGCGCCATGCCATATAAGATGCATCCACTGGTTTCCCATCTTGTTCCCCAGATGCGTTTACAACAAAAACAACTGCGCAGTGGACTTCGAAGACATGGAAGAAGAGGAAGATTCAGAACTAGGAGACGAGGAAGAGGAGGATGGCGACGACATCCCTGCTTTGTTGAACTTTATAATTCTGTTCCTGTACATAACAGCGGGTTGTGTAGTGGTGACCAGGTTTGTCCCCTCCATGGGATATCTTGACAGCTTTTGGTTCATTTTCATTTCCTTGGCGACCATCGGCTACGGGGACGTTGTACCACCTAATCAAAAGGTGAAGCAGTACAGGTTTTTTAAAATGAATTCTTTTTTTTGTGTGCTCAACTTATACAGTGAATTGTTTTGGTTTATTGCCGTTTCTGATAAAGAAAGTTATTATACCCTTTTTAAAAACGTAAAATGAATAAAGGGGGCTTACCTTTGTCTTAGATAAGTTTCATAGAGACGATTGGGTCATCTTTCCTCTAAATTCATTTTACTTTAAAAAATATTTTTTGGATTAAGACAGCTGGTTAATACCATCAGTGAGCAAATGGGGAAAGATCCAGATAGTGTAGCTTTTTTGAGAGCTTACTAGCAAAAGAATGAAAGGAGAACCGGGATCGCCGGTGATTTCGGCAGTCTTCGCACTTCACGAAGATGATGATACTATTATAGTCACATCTGTTCAACTCATCTTAGATTGCGTTGATCTGACTCTTGCACAATTTACCGTTACTCATCATTTAGCCTATAGTGCCTTCCCCCACCCCACCCCATTTTTCATCCTCCTACCCCGGGTTGGAATCCAAAAAACGGGGCATTCTAGACATAGGTTGCTTTGAGGAAGTTTTAAGGTGATTTTACTGTATTTTTCTTGAACTCCCGCAGTAATGGTTTTCACTGAGCCTGGTTTGGTGGTCATCGTAGTAGTAGTACATTCTCCGTTTTTTGACGTTCCAGATAATCCCAATTGGTATCAGGTAGCGTTTTGGTACCCATGGCCGTTGCTTAAATAACACAATGGAATATTCTTGAAATTTTGTTGTTTGGGCTGGTCTCAGGGATCTTCAACCACTGTGCAGTCATATTAGCTATGGACTTAGGTGGAGTTTTTAAAAGAAGTCAGTCCACTCATCATGAAATATCAGTTCTGCGACACACATCGGCGAAAGCCGATAACATCCTGGACATTCCCAATCACCAATCTGTTGAAGCTTTCCAAGAAAGTGGCTCTAGGTGTACCCATGCCTCGTTTGCCCTCATTTTTGCCAATCTCCGCTAGATGTCCAAAGTCTTTATGTTGATTGAAGTCTCCCAGAAACTGCCTAGCTGTCTCCATTTAATTGTTATTTTTTGTTAGTGAGCGGCCCACGTGCCGGATCAATCAAACCAGTACTGTATCCTATGTATTGGTATGTTTTATTTTTTTACTCGCTTTTTCCCCTGCTGAGATTTAAACACAGCGATCTTTCCCCAGCTGTTTGTTTGCTTCATCCCCTACTTCTTTGTTGGGCTATGCCTCACGTCAAACGTCATCAACAGCCTTATTAGTTATTTCAACGAGGTTGTGGAAAACTTCAAAGACATTGCGCATGTAAGTTGAGAATGGTGGATAGTTGATAAAATGCGAAAAGTGAATCAGTAGATTATATTATATAATTCGACATTTCCTTCATTGTGTAATGTAATTTAGTATGATGTTTTCTTGAGTGATCTAACGGAGTACGGATAATTCTTTTTCACGTTGTTTTATGAAGCGTAGTGAGACATGGCAAGGATGTAACTCATGATATGGGATTTAAAGAGATAAAGGTGACGTACGAATGTGCGGATAATGCTCTCTTTCTGAAGCGACTCGATGAGATTTAATGTGATGGGATATCTCCTTGTACAGTGTCCAGTCTTGCAAATGTGATATTTAACATAACTTTTACATTCCTAATTTACTGTACTGCTTGTGTCGATGGGGATGTTAAAAACGCCTAGATTTAAAAACAAAATTATTGTGATTATATTCGTTTGGTATGATGTGCAGCACCTCAACACTATGCAATACAATAATAATGGTAAGGGTGCCCCTGTATGAAATGAGGATTGGAGTATGCTCGGGTAGCAGACAGACTTGAGGATAGTGCACACTGTGCTGTTATCAACCCATACTGTTATAAACTTTCATCATTTCAAGCCTCTCTCAATTTAATGCACCCCCCCCCCCCTCACTTTTTTCTCTTATACCCCCATTTCCTACTTTGTCCTACCTGCATCTCCTTTTAAAATGGTTACACAACCTCTCTTTCTTTCCACACCCAACCTTCTTTCCCACGTTCCTGTTTCAACACCCCTACACCCCAATCCCCCCTCCCCCGTTAGAAACCCAGTTCCCAACATCTCCTCTTTTTTTCTCCTCATTTCCCCATTTCCCCATTTCACCTTCCACTTTCATGTCCCTCTCAAACTGCCTGAATCTAACCTTCTTTTCTGATCTGCCCTCTTCTCTCCGCGATCACCCTATTTTCCCCATCTCCTCCTACAAAACATACAGCCCCCTTCCTTTTCTCTTTCCTTCGCTCATTTCTCAGTATCGCTCTTTCTCAAAATCTCATCCCCACCTACCTCTTTTACGCATTTGTCTCCAACACACGCCAGGCAGTACAAGACATCTTTGAGGTCAAGAGGAAGATCCACAAAATCCGCAAGAAACAGGTAAAAGCCAAGAAGAACTGGCAGATTTTGAGAAACCATGTTATGGACGGGACCATTCCGGACTCTCTGATTGAAGAGTCAAGGAGGTAAGAGATGTGGACTTCTACAGTTAGTTCGATCTAACTGACTTTAAAACACAATAAAGTAGTTTCGGAGGATGACATCAGAGAGCAGGCGGGCTCAACTTAGACACGGAGAAGAGCGGGTAGAACAGAGTGGAGGACGTCTTTGGAGGGCTATATCAGAAAACGTCTAGAAAGAGATAAAGTAATAAAGAAAGAAAGGAAGAAAAAAAGAAAGAAAAAAAGAAAGAAAAGAAAGTAACGAAAGAAACTAAGATACATTTGGCAAATGGGGTCCCCGACAGCCATAATATAATGAAAATAACTAAATAACCGAAGTTCGAAAACGCTCTGAAGAAGGGTTGTAATCAGGGTCATTTCGAGTTGTAGTCCAGCCTGACATTACATACAGTATAAACTACCGTCTTGGTCAAAAGTGGCCCGTTGAAGAGGTTAACCTCTTACTGTGGAAAATAAATTCAACAACCGTAAGTAATCGTATCTGAGAGTACCACAAATATCTTTTTTTTTTCCCTACCCATTTCTATAAACCGGCTCTTTTGTGTTTAGTCGAAACAACATTAGCAAAAAAAAAATGTGCAGAATTTTGGATTTTAAAATTAAGTGTTATTATGAATGTAAACCTATCTATCTATCTATCTATCTATCTATCTATCTATCTATCTATCTATCTATCTATCGATCTATCGATCTATCGATCTATCTATCTAGCTAGCTATCTATCTATCTATCTATCTATACATATGCACACATATATTATATAATACATACACTGGAAAAAGCTGTTTTGGGAGTTCAAAACTAAATTTTAGTGGCATAGCCCAAACTTCTAGAGGTTTCAAGCCCCCCGTCTGACTGAGAATGAAAACCCCGCTGAAAGGGGACAACCGCTGTGGTTCCTCTAAGTTGAATAATTCTTTATCGAAAGGTTAGCACAGAAATATTTAAACCTCTCATCTAACAGTAAAAGGCCAGTTTTCTTGAAACTTGGCCATTGGACACTGTAAGATTATTTAACATGCGGGATCCCCGATTTACCCTGCATCCTCAATAAGACAGAGACATACAGGTGAAAAGCCTTAATACCTGGAGGTGTCATCTCTGAATCAGAGGTTGACGTGTAATGACCCTCCATCCTTCTCTGTCCCGAGCTGCCGTTGCATTTTCTGCTATACCCATGCTTTAATGTTGTCCTTCTATGCTACTCTTTGTCTTCCCCTGACCCAACTCTTTTCTTTAAGCACCTCTTTCACAATGTCGTGGTGTCGTTTCCAGTGACCAAAGTGTTGCGTTTTTCTACATTTCATTTTGTTACATACCTTACACCCTCGTTAAAACATATTCAAAACGTCCTGCTGAGGACCCGAACCACTTGTAGTCCAGCACGCTACAAGATGAGCTAATAGTGAACCCAGCCTGTATCTGTAAGGGTAGCTCTTTGTCTTGTACGCTGAAGACGGGCGTTTGATTTCCACGTGGAGAGGATTTTCGTTGAGGGTCCCCGTCTTACTGCGGGGATGTATTCCCCACAGTCCTGGTTGGCGCGAGCAGACTAGATCGAAGCCCCCAAAGTGATCTAATTCAATTGTGTCGATATAATTGTTTTTGTTTTCGTTCTTTTAATGTGTGTTGGGTTTTGTTGTTGTTGTTTGTTTGTTTGTTTGTTTGTTTGTTGTTGTTGTTTTTTGGTGTGTTTTTTTTTTGGGGGGGGGGGTGGGGTGTTGCAGTGCGTGTTCTTTAAGCATGATCGAGCAGAAGATTGTAAAATAATTCACGGTTTGCAGGTACCAAGCGGGAATTATGGCCAAAGAAAAAGAGTTCGTGCGTCGTGCCTACAGGCTCTACTTCTACGAGGTGTTTAAGGAAAGATCTAGGATTGAGATCAGCAGAAAAATGAGACAATTTCAGAGTATTACAAATGCTGAGGAACCTCAAGATTTGTTCACTACCCCTAGCGTGATGCGTATTTTTAAAGGACCAGGTGAGGATCACATATGCATATTTTGATAATGCACAGACGAATACAGATACGCACACATACTATTAACACAATCACTAAAGGAGACAAACAGACACACTCACGCGGTTACACGCTCTCTTTCTTTAAAACAAATCCACACAGATACACACTCACACACACACACACACACACACACACACACACACACACACACACACACACAAATTCTCACACATACACCCTCACTGGCTTTTTTACCCTCTCATTCACCCACCCACATAGTCAGTCTTACTTTCTCTCGCTCACTGACTAACTGACTAACCGTCAGACTGACTGACTGGCTGATTGATAGACTTACTGGCTGACTGACTGACTGACTGACTGACTCATTCATTCTCACACTCATCTACTCACACACACACATTTATCCACTCATTGATTCGATCATCCTCCAACACAGCTCCCCTCTTACACATTTTTTCTTTTACATACTTAAGCCCCATGCACACAAGGAAAATTCCAATTCGTCACTTGGCGGTGAAGAAAGACGAACGGGGAAAAATTGCCTCATTTGCACACTCACACACGTCCGACGAGTAGACCTTTTCCTATTGTGCGCGGGTCCTACTTTAGGTACAAACGTACGTTCACTCAGTCATGCTCCTCAGCACACGTATTTATAAACTCACATTTACTCAATCACGCTGACTTGCGTACTCATCCATCTTGATTACGACCACTTTGTGTCTGTAAGCACGTTTGAGGTCCAGGGGATATAGTGACATCGAAGACTTAAGTGTGATGTATTTTGGTGAAATCAGGCCCTCGTCAAAATAAAACTTAATTTTAAGAAACAGGCATTTTCCCGCCAGTTTGGCAAATTTATCAAATTTCTGTTATTTGGCCCAATACCGTAATGTCAACACCAAAATACATTTCTATGCGAATTTGACTGAAAATGTTGACTGAATGCACAAAATATGCAATTGTTCGTTTTTGACGCTATCGAAATTTTATGACCATTTTTTACGCTAATTTAATCACTGAAATCGAGCGAACCCCTGTTCTCCTTCAATCGTAAATATCTCGACGTCTATAAAAAATAGATAGTTATTTTTTTCATTGGAAGCAAGACAAATCAGCTTTCAGATTATACCGATAACTCCTCATGCCCAAAAACTGAAGAGCGCCTGATTCCACTGTGCTGTGACATAAATTCAAACTCAAATCTCGGAACATACAGGTGAGAAGAGTGAGATACGGCTGGAAGTCAGGCGGCTCAACAGGTGGCAGCGAGTCAAGGGCTTCTTCAAACGCGGGTACCACCATGCACGTCACACTGTGTCCAAGAAAATGAAAGCCAGAGAGAACGAAAAGAAAAGCAATCGACGAGAGCCTAGGAAGGGCGGGTTCCACTTTGGTTAAGGCCAAGGTGTAAGGTCCTTGGTTGAGACTCGAAGACGTCTTTGTGTCACGAGCTGAGACCGTACGTTCTTTGCCACGCTATAACTAAAAGATGAAGGTTTTCGTTATAATAGATATAATTATGATAGATAACATATTTTGCATAGCTCTAATTCCCGCTCAACAGCAAGCTCTATGCGCTTAACGACCTGTATTATTACCCAAGCAGACCTGATAGTTTTCTGACACAAATATCAAATTTCTGCGAAGCATACACTGCAAGCTGCGATTTTAAGGGCTCTAAAACTCATCAGATTCTTGCTTCTGTGTCGTGAGAGCTGAATATTAAAAAGATGTTGGTTGAAACTGAATATTCAAATGCTGTGGCAGGTTTAGACACTTCTGAGTTTGAGCGATTAAAAGCACATGCAACGTATATTTCCTCTGAATAATTAAGGACACTTTTCTGAGTACATTTTTTGTTTATGCCACGTTAGCCTGTCTAAACCATTTGACTTTTTGCATGATTCCAGCTGGCTTATTTTGGCTTGTTTTGTGAAAATTAATAGAATATTTTCACTTTTCTCTGACATTTTGTCTGCTTTTTTCCCGATAACTAAACAGGGGGATTTTTTCGGGGGGTGGAGGATATGTCTGGGCAAGTATGTTTTTCTACCCATTTATTCGTTTCTATCATCATCATCATCATCATCATTATCATCATCATCATCCGGTGCCTTGCCGACTGGCGTGGGCGGTCATGGACCTCCAGTTCACTCTGTCTTGCGTTGCAACAATGGTGTCTGTTGTTCTTGCTGCTCCTAGCCATGTTGTCATCTTGTCCAGTATCTTTTCCCTCTGTCTGCCTCTGCCTCTCTTTCCATCAAACTTGCCTGTTGTTACAATATTCTCCAATGCTTCTTTCCTTATTCGTTTCTATATTATATGTAATAATTGAAATAATGAATTGTCTCATACCTTTACATCATGTTTCTTTGGGTGCAATATTGAAAAGGTTCAACATTATCTTTAAAAATTACACTCACATATGTACAGTATTAGGTCATCTATCTATCTATCTATCTATCTATCTATCTATCTATCTATCTATCTATCTATCTATCTATCTATCTATCTATCTATCTATCTATCTATCTATCTATCTATCTATCTATCTATCTATCTATCTATCTATCTATCTATCTATCTATCTATCTATCTATACATATGCACACATATATTATATAATACATACACTGGAAAAAGCTGTTTTGGGAGTTCAAAACTAAATTTTAGTGGCATAGCCCAAACTTCTAGAGGTTTCAAGCCCCCCGTCTGACTGAGAATGAAAACCCCGCTGAAAGGGGACAACCGCTGTGGTTCCTCTAAGTTGAATAATTCTTTATCGAAAGGTTAGCACAGAAATATTTAAACCTCTCATCTAACAGTAAAAGGCCAGTTTTCTTGAAACTTGGCCATTGGACACTGTAAGATTATTTAACATGCGGGATCCCCGATTTACCCTGCATCCTCAATAAGACAGAGACATACAGGTGAAAAGCCTTAATACCTGGAGGTGGCATCTCTGAAGCTGAGTTGAAGTGTAATGACCCTCCATCCTTCTCTGTCCCGAGCTGCCGTTGCATTTTCTGCTATACCCATGCTTTAATGTTGTCCTTCTATGCTACTCTTTGTCTTCCCCTGACCCAACTCTTTTCTTTAAGCACCTCTTTCACAATGTCGTGGTGTCGTTTCCAGTGACCAAAGTGTTGCGTTTTTCTACATTTCATTTTGTTACATACCTTACACCCTCGTTAAAACATGTCAAAAATGTCCTGCTGAGGACCCGAACCACTTGTAGTCCAGCACGCTACAAGATGAGCTAATAGTGAACCCAGCCTGTATCTGTAAGGGTAGCTCTTTGTCTTGTACGCTGAAGACGGGCGTTTGATTTCCACGTGGAGAGGATTTTCGTTGAGGGTCCCCGTCTTACTGCGGGGATGTATTCCCAAC